CTCAGAAGGGAGAGGCTTTAGGGACTTCAGCTCTGCCTCTGATCCCGAACTGGGTTAGCCTGCTGGCAAGCAGCTCCTTATATGCTGACAGTTAGTGACAGTTAGTGACAGTTAGGGAAGGCATAGAAAAAGCCCGGGAGATTCAAAACCAGGAGCTGCACTCTGATTGGCCTATTCAATTATCTAAGCCAAAGGCCATTAATAGGCACAGCAACTGTGAGGGAATTTTTTTTCTCACAAGTACTATGCATTGGATGACCTTGCTGAGGATATATAATCATCAATGAAATTAAGTTCTGATGTAGGCCCTAGATCAAATTAGGTCAATCACTTGCTGAGGAGCTCCAAGAGATGATAGGGCACAATAAATGATTACAATCTCATCCCTCCCAGGAATTTTCCCCACATTGATGAAAGTAGCACAGAAGAAATGGGTTGGTGGGAGATTCTACAAAGTCTAAGAAGATTTATGGAATAATAAATACGTATTGAACACCAAACTTTATTTCTTTGCCGTACATTGGTCCTCACTGGAGACACTTAGAAACCATGGAAAATAAAAGGCTGGGTGATTGTTGTTGACAAGAGGTATATACAACATGTTCCTGCTTCATTTCATCATTTTTAACAAATATTTTATTCTAAACATGTCTCAAAGAAAAATGAAAATGTGTTAGAGATTTTTTTTTCTTATTAGATTTTGTTTACAATTAAATTGGGTTTCAATAAGATAATGTAGCATTTTAGGAAAAGATATGCAAGCCAAGAGACCAGCCCCAGAGGCCAAAATGGAGAAGATCTTCATGGCCACCATGGACTTCCCTTTAGTGCTCAGATAAGTGGGGAGGAAGGAGATCCAAACACTGCAAAAGACCAGCATGCTAAAAGTAATGAACTTGGCTTCGTTAAAACTGTCGGGCAATTTCCTAGCTAGAAAGGCAACCATGAAACAAACAAGGGCCAAAAAGCCCAAGTAGACGAGGACAGTGTAAAACATTAAAGCCGAGCCTTCCTTACATTCCAAGATGATCTCTCCAAACAAGGAGTGGAAATCCAAGTTAGGATATGGAGGAGAGGTTACCAGCCAGGTGGCACAAACTACTGCTTGGATGAAAGGACAGCCTAAGACAATGAAATTGGTCAGTGGTTTTCCTAAGAGTTTCCTTGTGCTGTTCCCTGGCTTGGTAGCCATGAAGCCCAGAACCACCATGACTGTTTTTGCCAATATGAAGGAAACCGCAATGGAAAAGAGAATGGCAAAGGTAGCTTGTCGGAAGAGACAGGTGAGCCTCCAGGTTATCCAATGAAGAGGAAGGAGCAAAGGAAGCAGATCAGGAGGGACATCAGGAGGATGTAGGAGAGATCTCGGTTGTTGGCCTCTGTGCATTCATGAAAGATTCTTGTTTCTTAATATAGTTTCTTTACAATTAAGACTGGATCTCTAGATTGACTAGTCTAAGAAAAGGGATTTTTAAGTGTTATACTTGGGGGAGTGGAGGAAATGGATAGAGTGGAATAAATGTTAAACTAGATTTTATGGGGAAGGCCGCTTTGAAATGAGTAATATATATAGAAGATTAAATGTTAAAGTAGGACTTATTGTATAGTTTTAAAGTGGAGAAGTTATTCTACAATGTCATAGTATAATGTCTTTTTTTTTCCTTTCTTTTCTCTTTTTTGATATGTATGGATAAAGGGGGATGTTATAATATTAATAATATTTTTAGTAAGTAAAGGTCAATATCTAGAGGAGGGAGTAAGTAATCTGTTATGAATTAGGGTTTTTTTTTTTGTTATGAAGAAGTCACAGGATGGGTGGGGAGGGGGGTTAGGGGTAAAGGGAAAAAATTTGTATTTGAAAACTTTTTCAATAAAAAAAAAAGACTGGATCTCAGCAGGATAATGTAGCATTTGGGGAAAAAGATACAAGTCAAGGGAGCAGTCCGAGAGGCCAAGATGGAGAATATCTCCATGGCCACCATGGACTTCCCTTTGGTGCTCAGGTAGGTGGGGTAATCCAAACACTACAGAAGACCAGCATGCTAAAAGTAATGAACTTGGCTTCGTTAAAGCTGTCAGGCAATTTCCTAGCTTTTGGTCAGGCTGTGACCAAAGAGGTAACTATGACCAGGAGAGTCTCGCCAATCATAGGAGTTAAGCTTTTGCAAAACAAGGTAAAGGTAACATTGCCTCTCCCCCCCCCTCCCCAGGAGAACTCAGAACATTTTTTAAATGCAGATTTTATCTTACAAAAGTTGTATGGGTTGAAATCCACAGGGGATTCATAAAGAATTACTGTTCTTCTGTTAATTACAAGGAAAATCAATTGTCCCACCCACTTAGCATTCCATTTCATTTGCATGCCAGAAAGGGGGAAAAAAAAACCCATGTGTGTGTCTTTTTTGTAATCCACAGAGCAGATGCCCTTGAGAATCATGGTGGAGTTTTGTGTGTTTGACCTGAGCTCCTGCACACAAGATGGATTTGCTTCCAAAATCTTGCCACAAGTGTTCACTAAGTGAAACTGTTGCAACACTTATGGAATGACTTCAGTTTTCATATGCTACACAGATCTGCGAACGTTGTCAACGTGATGGATTGCAAAGTCGTTTTTTATCCATGTTGATAAACAAGAAGCATGTGTAATGTCTATCTGGCTATTACAACTGCTTCATCCTTCTATCCCTCCCTAAACTACTGTGGATTGAACTGCAGGAGTGGAAACCAATTGAGTCTTATGTGAGTATTGATTGTTCAGAATGCACAATGGATCAATTCCCTCCAGAGAATAGTGGGAGGAACTCTTCAAGACCAAAGGATGCACTTATATTTATACATTTCAGAAAGAAGGAGAAAATAAGAAATAGATAAGAAATAGATGATGTAAGCATACATACTCTAAACTGCTTAGAGAGGGCTATAAAGCACTGTAAAGTGGTATATAAGTCTAAGTGCTATTGCTATTGCTATTCATAATAAGGAAACATCTAGTTTAGGAAACATCTAGTTTAGGAAACATCTTTAAGAAAAGTTTAGGAAACATAATTAGGAAACATCTAAATCAAGATCACGTGAAGTGTTAATATCATTTTATAATGCCTTGGTAAGGCCACACTTGGAATATTGCATTTAGTTTTGGTCGCCACGATGTAAAAAAGATATTGAGACTCTAGAAAGAGTGCAGAGAAGAGCAACAAAGATGATTAGGGGACTGGAGGCTAAAATAGATGAAGAACGGTTGCAGGAACGGGGTACGTCTAGTTTGATGAAGAGAAGGACTAGGGGAGATATGATAGCAGTGTTCCAATATCTCAGGGGTTGCCACAAAGAAGAGGGACTCAAGCTATTCTTCAAAGCAAAGAGGGTAGGACAAGAAGCAATGGGTGGAAACTAATCAAGGAGAGAAGCAATTTAGAACTAAAGAGAAATTTCCTGACAGTTAGAACAATTCATCAGTGGAACAACTTGCCTCCAGAAGTTGTGAATGGTCCAACACTGGAAGTTTTTAAGAAGATATTAGATAACCATTTGTCTGAAGTGGTGTAGGGTTTCCTGCCTAAGCAGGAGGTTGGACAAGAAGACCTCCAAGGTCCCTTCCAACTCTGTTATTCTAAACAACCAAGTTATTTCTGCCATTTGTCAGAAATGGTGTAGGGCCGTGATGGCGAACCTATGGCACGCATGCCACAGGTGGCACACGTAGCCATATCAGTGGGCACGCCAGCTCAGCATGCGCACGCCGGCCAGCTGATTTTTGGGCCTTCTGGCCCACCAGAAGTAGGGAAACAGGCTGTTTCCTGCCTCCGGAGGGCCTGGGGGATGGGTGGGGAAGGCCCATTTTTCTTTCTTACCTGGCTCCAGATCCTCTCTATGCATCTGTGGAGGGTGAAAATAGCCTTTCCCACTCCCTCGGAGGCCCTCCGGAGGCCTGAAAGGGCCCATTTCCCAACTCCCAACATTTTTTGCTGTCCCCAGCCTCCAGAGATTCCTAGAGAGGCTCTGGAGGCTGGAGACAGCAAAAATGTCACTTACTGTCCCACCGGGAGTGGGGAAATGGGCCAGGGGTGAAATCTAAAATTTGTTACTACTGGTTCTGTGGGTGTGGCTTGGTGGGGGCGGTAATGTGACTGGATGGGCGTGGCCAATTTTTTTTTTTTTACTTTTAAAACCATTTTTTCTACAACCTCTTCAGTGAAGAGGTTGTAAAAAAATGCTTTCCAAAGGCTCTGACGATCCCAGCTGAGTTGCCTGATTGGCTGAGACTTTTTTTTCTTTTAAATGCCTCTGTCGATCAAGCAACTCAGTTTGGATCATCAGAGGCATTTAAAAGAAAAAGACCCTTTTTTTCTCTTAAATGCCTTTGACGATCCAAGCTGAGTTGCCTGATCATTAGAGGCATTTAAAAGAAAAAAAAATCTCTGCCGATCGAACAACTCAGCTTGGATCGTCAGAAGCATTTAAAAGAAAAAAAAGATTTTTTTTCTTTTAAAAGCCTTTGATGATCCCAGCTGAGCCGCACGATCATCAGAGGCTTTTTTTTTTTTTTACTTTTAAAAGCATTTTTTTCGGCCAAAGAGGTTGTAGAAAAATTGTGTTTAAAAGTAAAAAAAAAGCCTCTGATGATTGTGCGGCTCAACTGGGCATAGCGGGGGGGGGGGGCTGGGATTTTTGCTACCAGTTCTCCGAACCACGCTCCTCCATCGCTACCAGATTGGGTGATCCGGTCCAAACCAGGAGCATTTCACCCCTGAAATGGCCCCTTTCAGGCCTCCGGAGGACCTCCGAGGGAGTGAGAAAGGCTGTTTTCGCCCTTCCCAGATGCATAGAGAGGATCTAGAGCCAGGTAAGAAAGAAAAATGGACCTACTAGGCCATCGCTTGCCTGGAGCGGGGGGTGGGTGAAGGGAGGTTGCATGTGCATGCGCGGGGGGGCACATAGAATTATGGGTGTTGGCACGCACCCGCGCGAACCTCCCCCACCCACAGCAATCTTCGCATTTGTTAGAAAGTCTTGTTTCTTACTATATTTTCTCTGCAATTCAGATTGGGCCTCAGTAGAATAATGTAGCATTTGGGAAAAAAGATACAAGCCAAGAGAGCAGCTACAGAGGCCAAAATGGAGAAGATCTCCACAGCCACCATGGACTTTCCTTTGGTGCTCAGGTAGGTGGGGAGGAAAGTGATCCAAACACTGCAAAAGACCAGCATGCTGAAAGTAATGAACTTGGCTTCATTAAAACTGTCAGGTAATTTCCTAGCTGGAAATGCCACAGTGAAACTAACAAGGGCCAAAAAACCTAGATAACCAAGGATAATGTAAAACATTAAAGATGAGCCTTCCTTACATTCCAAAATAATCTCTCCAAACAAGGAGTGGAAGTCCAAGTTGAGAAATGGAGGAGAGGTTCCAAGCCAGGTGGCACAAAGTACTGCTTGGACCAGGGGACAAGCTAAGACAATAGAGTTAGTCAGTGGTTTTCCTAAGAGTTTCCTTGTCCTGTTTCCTGGCTTGGTGGCCATGAAGGCCAGAACCACCATGACAGTTTTTGCCAACACAGAGGAAACTGCAAGGGCAAAGAGAATGGCAAAGGCAGATTGTCGGAAGAGACAGGTAATCTTCCCTGGTCGACCAATGAAGAGGAAGGAGCAGAGGAAGCAGAGCAGGAGGGAGACCAGGAGGATGTAAGTGAGATTTCGGTTGTTGGCCTTGACAATTGCTGTGTCATGATGTTTATAGAAAATCACCAGGACTGCAGAAGTGGTCACAGAGAGAAAAAGAGTGAGAGAGATTAAAACGTATCCCAGGGTTTCTTGATAGTCAAGGAAATGGATCTTCTTGGCAATGCATTGGTCCTTGTCCTTGTTGGGATATTGGTCTTCTGGGCAGGATTCACAGTGAGCTGCATCTGAAATCAAGAGTATTTATCTAAGAATTTCAAGGGTACTTTCTCATGAACTTTATCCCTCCTGCAGAGATGACATAACTGTCCCCTTTTAAATTGCAGCCAACTAAAAAGGGGGTGATGAATGACCCATTGTGCAATTTATGGGGCATTGAAAACAACAATTCATCCTTCATTCATGATGAATCTGGAGATACGTTAATGAGAGACAAGGATTTGTTCTGATTCAGCTGTCTGCTCCCTGGATACTTGTATGATTATTGTGTCTTTCAATTTCAGATTCTGGCCTGTTATTTCCCCCACTATATATTTTGAACCCCCAAAAAACTGATAGATCAGTGAGACATGAATGTTGCTATTACCTGCGTTAACTTCTCTGCTTCAAACTTCAAATATGCTCTTTTATACTTTCTTTTACTTCCTCCTGTTCTATCGAGAAGGCATAGATAGATAGATCTCCACCTTTTCTCTCAGGTCTATTTCATCAGAGATTGATAGAGCTGACAGAAGAAGCAAACTCTTAATAATAATAATTAACCACACAACAATCTCCTTCAGGAAAAATTGGGAAGTTGGTTTTCCTAATTGAATGTTGCAGTAGGAGTGGAAATGCAAGACAGAGATTCGTAACTTGTGTCCTAAAACTAGCCTGCATTAAATTTCTGTGGGTTGGGAAAGGTGGCTTCTCTGGCCAGAACAGTTTAGATCCATCAACTGAAAGGTTATGCTGAAAAGTATGAGTGCATTGAATCTTATCAAAAATAACAACAATAATAAAAATATTTTGATTTAATGAATGGCTTCTTTGATCCTGGAAGATCTGTATTTGAAGTCTGGTCTACCTGTCTGATTAGAGATGGTCCCTTCTGGACAAGGGTCACATTGGTAGCAGCAAACCTGCTTGCCCTCTGGAACTCTTCTTCTCTTTCCTGCATGGCACCTCTTCATGCCGCACCTGGCAAAGGGGATCTTCTAAAATATCAAAGAAAAATACTTAAGATGGCCTAAGCAATGAACAGGCTTCATTACAAGTAGTAATGAAGTATTACCATGAAGTATTACCATCATTATTATCATCGTCCCTATTACCTATCTCATCTTCTTATACTATAACTTTGTTACTTGTATCTTATCATTTATACTGTTTACTTAGTATTCTAGTATGTTTTATGTTGATTGCTTATTTAGTTAGTATCCATGACTATCACTAAGTGTTGTATCTAATGTTTTACGATGAATGTATTTTTACAATGACTATGATAATAATGTATCACTATTGTTGTATGTACACTGAGAGTTTACTCACTGGAGACAAAATCCCTTTGTGTCTCAGCCCCATGTACATGAAACCATGGCTTAGGACCTGGTTATTTACGGGACCGCCTGCTACCACCAATAGCCTCCCACCGACCAGTACGCTCCCATAGAGAGGGGCTCCTCCGGGTGCCGTCGGCCAAACAATGTCAACTGGCAGTCCCCAGGGGGAGAGCCTTCTCTGTGGGGGCACCTACTATCTGGAACGAGCTCCCCCCGGAGATACGGAGGATCAGGGATCTGCGTACCTTCCGTCGCACGCTCAAGACTTTCCTATTTCATCAAGCCGGCCTGACCTAAGTCTTTCCCCTTTAAATGGAAATTTTAAATCTGGTTTTAAATTATTGGGGTTTTAAATTTGTTCAGCCAAATTATTTAATTCGTTTTAATTCTATTTTAAATTTTGTACTTATATGTTTTATTCTATGGCTGTTCACCGCCCTGAGTCCTTCGGGAGTAGGGCGGTATACAAATTCAATAAAAAAAAAAATCACACTTGGCCAATAAAGAATTCCAATTCTAATCAATTCCTTTCCACACTCCTATTTGCATTCCACATTCCTATTTCTATATTCAGTATGTCTTCAAAAGAAATGGTTCATCCCCATGTACATGAAACCAGGAACAGTTCCTGGGAAATTCAGGCCAGTGGAAGTCCCAACCCATCAATGGATGCTATATATAGGAATTGTGACTCAAAGTGACTTTGAGCTGGAGCCTTTCTTCAGAAGAATCAATTTGAATGAGATTGGTCCATGGAAATCACTGTTGGCTGCTCTAATGGTACCCTGGGTTTCAGCCCTTGTTAAAGAAAGAATCAACAGGATCCAACTGAATGGGACTGACCCATGGAAATCCTTGTTGCCTGCTCTAATTCTAACTTATTGCACCTGTGTATGGTTTGCCAATTGCACAGTGGCAGATAGGACAATGCTCCAGAGGGTTAACATTATTGCTTAGAGGATCACTAGTTGCCCTCTCCCCTCCTTGGAAGAGCTTTATAGCTCCCGCAGCCTTAAGAAAGTTCAAAACATTCCTAAAGATCCATCTCATCCTGAGCACCCTTTTTTTGAACTATTATCCTCTGGCAGACGGTACAGGACAATAAAAACAAGGACAAATAGGCTGAAAAACATCTTCTATTCCAGAGCAGTAACTATATTAATTCCACTGTATAGTGAAATATTAATGCAGTATCGAGGGCTTTCAATTCAACTGTATAGAATGTGAAGGATGTGTGTGTTTTTTTAATATACTTTTCTTATGTATGATGTACACTGAAGATGGCATTTAATTTCATTGTACGAGGTGCAATGACAATAAAGAAAACTAAACTAAACTATTTGCACCTTTTGTTTCAGAAGCAGAAGTTCCCTTCCCATTCCTTGACCTTTGTGGATGGATACAAATCAAACCTCATATTTTTTTTATATGCAAATCAAATTTTTCACCATATGACTGCCATATTTTCTGACTTAACTGACCATTTTTGAAGTTAGAAGGATGTTCTTGTCCAGAGAGAAAAAAAGGATTAAGGGAGACATGATAGCAGTGTTTTAATATTTGAAGGGCTGCCACAAAGTTGAGGGGTTCACACTATTTTCCAAAGCACCAAAACTAACCAAGGAGAGAAGCAACCTAGAACTAAGGAGAAATTTGCTGATGGTGAAAGCAATCAACCAATGGAATAGCTTGCCTTCCAAAGTAGTGAGTGCTCCATCAATAGAGGCTTTCAAAAAGAGACTGGACAGCCATTTGTCTGAAATGTTATAGAGTCTCCTGCTTGAGCCAGGGGCTGGACTAGAAGACCTCCAAGTTCCTGTCCAGCTCTATTATTCTATAATCCCATGATTCTACATTCCAAATCTTTCCCTGAATTTACAGTGTCCCCTTGTGGCTCACCTTAGTTGGCCAGACAATTGCATCAGAATTAATGGTGAAATCCTGTCCACGGGAAGCCCTGGGATCTATTTGCCCAACTTTCATGGGAAGAAAAGTTTCATTGGGGAGGAAAACCCAGTTGAAAAGATCAAAGCGAGGAGAACCCAATCTATTTTCTGAGAATGAGATTTCATCTCCGGCACTGTTGTTAAATCGGACATTCCTCAAATAGGGAAGAATCTGAAAGAAGAAGAAAAAAACACCTCAAGTAATTGGAGAAATTGATTGAAAGATGAGATGAGTTATCATGGCTAAGATGATTCTTTGTTAGTCATCATCTTAGGGCTTGGGTGTGCACGTGATAAAGAAGAGGAGTTCCACAGGTGGAGATCTGGTCAGGATTTTAATGCCACACTCCAAATTTCATTGTATGCTGTTGCTCTTGTGATACTGGGCTACATGCATTTTTAAATGTTTCCTTTGGCTTCAGATCTTGTAAATAACAAATGCATTTTAGGAATGATTTTATAATTTCTATCTCAACCATTGAAAATTCCAGAGACTTTCTCTAGTTCATAGTCAGACAGCAGAATGTAAGAACCAGGTCTGACCAGGTGAGGCCATGTGGAAGGAAGCACCTGCCCTGGTTTGTCCTGTCCAGAGAAGTCCAATGTTTAGTCTTTGACGCTGGAAAGTTTGATTAATATCAGAGCAGGTGTCAGTGTTCCAATTTATGATTTTCCCCAGCGCTGACATGAATGAGAGAAAGAGAAGCCTTGCTTTAATGCTGAGATGAACTTTCACTTAGTTTCCTGCTCCTTGGTAGATAACGTTACTTAGGTGATAGAGGGAAGGGGGAATTCCTGTGACTGGAAAGGGCTTGGGAGGGAGAGATGGATCTGCACGATGGCCAATGAGACATTGGGGAATAAAGAGCAGAAAGGGAGGGGTTTTGAAGGAGATGCCAGTTCTGGCTGCACAAGAGTTCAGGAATGACGTAGTTAATTCTTAAATAAAGAAAAGTTTCATCAAAGACTTTGCATTTGAGAATGAAGTTTATTTGTGATAACACCGAATCCTGACAGAAGGAGCCAATCAGGTCCACTTTGAGTCTTGCTGTGTCTCTGATGTTGACAAAGGCTCCTTTCACACAACAAGACACATCGTGTAACAAATCACAAACTCAACAAATGGGGTAGGTAGCTGAAGTCAGTTCATAACTGCAGGGTCTATCACTTTCCCACAAAATATTATTCTTTATTCATATTTCAGTTTTAAAAATAATTGATGTTTCAATCTGCACCAAGGTGCACTTATAAGGTAACATTAGATATTTCATTATATGGGAAACTTCCTCTCTAAGGATCTGTGGAGTGGATAAAAAGTGACAGAAGTAAGCAGTGGAGTATCACAAGGTTCCGTCTTAGGCCCAGTACTTTCAATATCTTCGTAAATGACTTAGATGAGGGAATAGAAGGGGAACTTTCCAAATTTGCAGATGATACTAAGATGGCAGGAATAGCTAACACCCTAGAAGATGGGCTCAAGATCCAGCTGGATCTTGACAGATTTGAACAGTGGGCCCTATCTAACAAAATGAAATTCAATGTAGAAAAAAGTAAATTCTTACACTTAGGCAAGAAAACCAAAAGTACATGTATAGACTGGGTGAAACCAGGCTTAATAGCAGTAACTGTGAGAGGGATCTTGGACTCTTAGTGGACAGCCAGCTAAATATGAGCCAGAAGTGTGTGGCAGCAGCCAAAAAAGCCAATGCAATCCTAAATTGCATCAACAGAGGGATACAATCAAGATCAATGGAGGTACTAAGACCACTCTATAAAGACTTAGTAAGACCACACCTAGCATACAGCATTCAGTTTTTGTCACCACACTATAACAAAGATGTTGAGACTCTAGAAAAAGTGCAGAGAAGAGCAACAAGGATGAATAGGGGACTGGAGATTAAAACATTGGAAGAACAGTTGTAGGAACTGGATATGGCTACTCTAGTGAAGACAAGGACCAGGGGAGACATGATAGCAGTGTCGAGAGCCCTCGACACATCGACGAATCTCAGCGATCCTGACCTCAACCTCTGGATCCGCAGCTGGGCTCGTACACTCTCCAGCGGCACTACGGGGGGGTCCTGGGCGGCGTTGTATAGTCACGGTGGTGAAGGGGGGTGTCAATTCAGGCACACAGGCGGACGGTCACCCCTGCGGCCGGGATAGGGATAGGACTTTAACAGCCGCTCCGCTTCTACGGAGCTGGGGCGCATGCGCCGTAGCCACCCAACCCGGAAGGGCGTTTACTTTGACGGCGCGAATGTTTAAATCGCGTTGGGAGGCAGCCGCTCCCAACGCCGACTTTGTGCTCAGCGCACCAATGTCACCCGCCGTTGCCGTTGTGACCTGATCGGATTAAAGACTACATGCATACAAGAACTGGTATCCGAGTCGTCGTTTCCTTTTGGGTAAAACAGCGAACGGGGGGTGTGACAGAAAAGTCGGCGTTCGCCTTTATCCGGTACGAGCGGCTGGAGCGTGTTGAGCATGGCGGAAGGCACGACAGCCGGTTTGCCGGGGATAGACGACGTTGCGGCAGAGGACGTGGTGCCGAGCCCCGCAACGGACAGCCAGGAGGCGGTGGCGGAGTTGCCGGTGGTTAGACCC